TTTTTTTTTTTTTTTTTTTTTTTTTTTTTTTTTGTCTCTTTTTTCGTGTCCGGCAACGGATCGCAACCCTCAGTGTCGCGCCCGTACCGGACCGGGACCGGCAACGGGATCGCAATCCTTGGTGTCGCGCCTGCACCTCACTCAGCCAGTGAGCGGGAACCGGTCTGTATGTGGGATCTGAACCCTCGGCGGGAGCGCCGCCACGCTCCCAAGCGGCACACTGTAGCAGTGCGCCACCGGGCCGGCCCCTGTATTGTCTTTTAATTCTATTTTTCCATGAACTTTTTGAAATATGTTTTTAGTATTCATTTATATTACTGTGTCTTGGGTCTGTAATGATACCCTTTCTTTTATTCCTAATATTGGCAATTTCTATCATCTCTCTTTTTCTCTTTGTCAGTCTTGCTAAAGGTATTGTATTAATCTTTGCATAGAACCAGCTTTTGGCTTAAGTGATATTCTGTGTTTTCTGTTTTATTCATTTCTACACTTTTATTTTTTGCTTCCTTCTGCTTGCTTTGAGTATATTTTGCTCTTTCTCTAGTTTCTTAAGTTGGAAACTTAAATTATTGATGAGACTTTCCCTCTTCTCTAAGGTAAGCATTTGGTGCTACAAGTTTCACTAGCAGCAGTTCTCACCAAAATTTAATGTCACTTTAAGCTGCATCTTCCACATTTTTATATGCTGAGGTTTTTTTTTTTTTTCATTTAATTAAATGTATTTTTAAATTTCCTCTGAGACTTCCTCTTTGACCCATGGATGTTTAAGAGTGTGTTGTTCAATTCCCAGTGTTTGGAGATTTTCCTGTTGTGTATCTGTTATTGGTTTCTAATTTGATTTCACGATGGCCAGAAAACATACTGTGTATAATTTCAGAACTTTTAAGCTTGTTGAGGTTCGTTTTATGACCCAAGATATAATCTATCTTAATAAGTGTTCCATCTGTACTTGAAAATAATACATATTCTGTGGGCGTTATGCAATGTTTTCAATAATCCCAAATAGATCCTGTTGTTTAATGATATTGTCCTGCTCTTCTGTATTTTTATTGATTTTCTGCTAGTCATTCTGTCAATTGCTGA